TAGGCCACCTGTGGCCTAAATAAGGTAAAGGAGGGGGGTTTAGCTTATTTAGGCCATATGTGGCCTAAATAAGGTCACCCTTTTGAATATGTAGTCCACATAATTCCAAAAGGCTTTGAAAGCTTGCCTTCGTCTAGCGAAAATATGCTTAGCATGTTTCGATATCATCAAGAATTTGGTGCAACATTCTAAATTCTCCTGTTTTGCCTCGTTCTTTGAATATGGGATGTACCCAAAATCGGCGGTGGCCTTGCATATACATGTACCTCCTCTTCAACTACCACCATAAAAAAAAATTATTCTCCCTTGTTAACGCCATTTCTCTAGATTTAGATCTAGGTCTGGTGCGCAAAAAAAATTACCGTACTTGTGAGGACGCTGTGGACACGGGCTAGCCGCTACGTTAACGTACGTACTTTGTGATGAAGCGTGAGTGCTGACGCTGTGGACCCCGGCTCTTAGTCCTATTTCTACTTCTATATAGATCTATCCCTATGTCCTGTCCTTTCCCACAGCTCTTCATTTCTTATTCTATCCTGCCACTTAATTCGCAGGATACTCCTCATACATTCGTTGATAAAGTCTGGACTTTATTCAGTGTCTTTGTTGTCTTCCAAGTTTCGCAGCCGTAGAAGAGCACAGACTTGACATTGGAGATAAAGAGCCCAATCTTGGTGCACAGTGAGATGTTGCTTGCTTTCAAGACTTTCGATAATTGATTGAATTCTGACCTTGCCTAGGCGGTTCTTGCTTTCACATCTGCCTCGGTTTCACCTTTACCATGCAAACATACACCTTTCGTAAATATAAACAGCTGATATGGGACTTATAAGGCGCAATTTATTGGTGAGCACTTCTTGTACATAATATTTTACTTTTCCTTCCCTATGTTGTTCTGTCTGATATCTGCTTTTATTTTTTCCTGCACTAAGTTATGACTGTTATCGTATCCATGTTCTTCTCTCTACTGAATCTGAAAATCATTTTGTAACTGCAGTCGGCCTAGTGATTGGTCTGTCTAGAACTGTATGTTTGTGGTCGTTAGGCTGTGAAATCTCCCTGTTGTATTGTCAATGTTTTATGATCTTATTGACGCTCTTTATGTCATGTAGGATGTCTGCTTTTTAGTTTAGTATTGGGTTTTACGGCGCTCGCAACTGCATTAGGTCATGAGCGCGCTGGATGTCTGCATTTTGCCGCTGTGGGTGTGGCTTTAGAAAATAGCCTCTGAAGAACCAGTGGATGTGCTGATAATTTAAAACAATATTTTTTTTAAAGGTTAAGCAGCGTTAAATAGCCTCTGAAGAACCAGTAGATGTGCTGCTAATTTTTTTGTCATTGACTTTTTAGGATAAGCAGCAAGCAGTTCGAAAAGGGAGGGGGGGGGGGGTACTTCTTTAAAAAAACAAAACAACATGTTTTCAGTCTACCCTCGAAGAATTTGTGGACACACAATTTTGTGTAGTAGGACAACAGTCATTATGGCGTCCAACAATGTTTACTTTCTTCCTCAATCGTGCTCCAGTCGGTGATGTTCTCAGTCACTGCCAGCCCACTCCTTGGTGGGGAGACAGCATCAATGGTCAAAGAGTGGACTGACAGTGAGTAGAAAATTCACTTAGGAAAGCTGAAAATCGTGAACTATGGCAGGAGCTGGTTGCAAAATCTACAATGGTGTCCTAACGTCAGCCAGACTACCGGACAGGTGGAGGTGAAGGAAGTTAATACTGTACGAATGTAGGCTATATAATAAATATCTTGAACTGAAGTATTTTCAGTCAGCGAAATGTGAATATTCTCTACAGAACGAGATCTAGATGTATCTATTTTTGAATACCGAGTAGGCCTACCCAAACTTACTTTTTAGACTCAAAAGTATGTGCTGGAACTCGAATTTACTTATTTAAACTTGTCAAAAAATTATATTTTCCAAGTATTGATTACGATTGTACAGTAACAGTGTCTTTAATAACAGAATTAAAAAACAAAACGAAACAAGATTGCACTAAGAATTATGCGAGAAAGGGACAGAAAAAGAAAAGAAGAAAAGAACGGTCATCACTCAGTCTCAGGCGTTCATCCCGATCCGCGACTGGCGGTGTAAGAACGGGCGTCTTTTCCTTCGTGTTGTCGGGGGCATGGCAGTCCCGGCCGCAGCAAGACGTTTCTGTAACCAGGCAAAAGGAAAACTATAATGATGCACTCTGGTAGCCTTTTAGTTTTGTACTTAAAGTTACAAGTACCAACGAAAGACTAGTTCCAACGAAAGAGAGAGAGAGAGAGAGAGAGAGAGAGAGAGAGAGAGAGAGAGAGAGAGAAAGAGAGAGAGAGAGAGAGTAATTAGGCTATGCTCATAATATTAGCCTATCCCTGCCTTATTAATGTCTCTTTCTTGTGCTAGAATCGTATTCTGGACCATTTGCTTCGACTCGAGAGACCTAGTCTCTACACGCATCTTGTCGTGAAAAAAAGAAGCCCCCCCCCCCCATATGTTAAAACCAACAACACAAAAAAACCGACTCCTACCCCCTATCACCCCCCTCTTTAAAAAGCCATAACAATAATCCACCATCACCTATCAAAACCTATGGGTATCCAAAGCAAAAACATTTCCAACTCATTCATGTCTCAATGTCCGCCCTTTCCCCACTAAAAACAAAACAAAATAAATAAACCAGAAGAAGGACGACAAAGAATGTTAGGCATAGATCCAGATCTAACACGAATAAAGTCAAACGTTTGTTTGAAGAGAACTTTTCCATGAGTAGCTTGCAAAAAATGGAAGGCATTGGGAAACCCTCTTGGTATGCTACCCTTTTAAAGTGTAAACATGATCGTATAATATTATGCAGGTGATATATGCTTACCAAATACTCTTGTTCCCTTTTGTGAACGTCGCGGCGTCTGCTGAAACCCTGGGGGAAGAGAGGTCCACAGAATAATTACTAATAGTCAGACATATAAGGTATACATGTAGTTAGTTACTAAGTCAGTTATAGTTGTTTAGAGTTTCAGACCATTGCAGTAGGTGGTTAGCGGATGCTCTCTGATGTGGTTTGGTCGTTCTTTCATATCAAACATCATCTATTGACTTCATCTGTTCTCCATTTTTTGGGTGTTACTTTCTTGTAACACCTCTAATCTTTAGCACTTCTATGACCTAATTTTGTTGCAAGTGCCGTCAAACTATTATTAGAACAAAGACCATTGCAAGCAGAACTATCACTTGTGGAACTTGTTGATAAATTCACATGAGATGTCAAAGTAGGAAGTTATGAACTAATATTACATAAACAGGGTTGGACAGAAAAGCCAAGGAGAAAAAACTGAGCTCCATTCTGACAACGTTCGGAGATAGGCCTGGGAAGAAAACTGAAGGTACAGTCTTGACAAAAATGCCGACCCCTCCCCCCCCCCCCCCCCCCGAAAAAAAAGGCTACCATCGGACCCATAGAGGCTACGACTCAAGTTGTCGAGTGGTTGTACCAATGGGTCTAGACTCAAGAATGATGTCAAACCCTACCGAGTGACAACCAACACGTCTGGAGAATATACCGTATAGTACGTAGTTTTTGATGAAATTTTGTGTATCTGTGTCGCTGGCGTAACCTCTGTATTACTTTAGAGTAATATTGTTTAGGCCATGTAAACCAAATAAGCATTTCCATAATCTGTAATCCGAACTTCCAACTGGGATCAGTCTCAGCGGTACAAGTACTGTATTTTCTTTTCGATTTATTTCTTTTTGCTATATTAATTATAAGCAATTTTGACTCACGTCTACCAGCTGGAATCCAGAGACTTTTTGGAATTAGAAGCAAAAACCAGACTTAGAACAGGGAAGTTGAAATTTATGCATTTCACAGTCGAGCGATGATTTATGGTAGAACAATTATAGAGTATAATATTATTATTACGATGCTTACCGGAATCACCTAGATCTAGTTCAGGTCATGACAACAGGCTAAGTTGTCTCAGACTTAGAGCAAACAAACGTTTTAAAGACTTCATAAAAAAGGAAAACCAGAATTCAAGCGCAGGGGCAGACCATCGAAAACTTGGCTGCACAGCGTTAACTTAAATTTAAAAAAAAAAAAAACATTGTTTACAGAAGCTATCCTCAAAGCCATTGACCGAAAATTGCACATCCTGTAGACATCTGCTAACTCAAGAGGAAGGATAAACTAAAGTAAACAAGGAAAACCAGCCACCAGATATCACTTACCCGAATCATCATGGCGACGAGGAATACGACGTGAAGTACCACATACAATATGATGAAGGCGATAAAGGCGTACATGTCTATCTCGTCAGAAGCGTTGTGGTCCAGTCTTGTGATGACGCCGTGCCAGACTGCCACCAGGAACAGGAATATCATGGAGCCCAGGATATAACGGTCCTGCTCGAAAACATGAACGAAAATTGAAGAAGAAGAAGAAGAAGAAGAAGAAGAAGAAGAAGAAGAAGAAGAAGAAGAAGAAGAGGAGGAGGAGGACATCTTTGCACAGATGAACGCAAGAGGTATTTCCTTTTCGGGTTTAATTTTAACGTATGCAATATACTTAATATAAATATTGCTTCATTTTCTTTTAGCTTCTATTTCATTGACATGGTCTAATTATCCGTCTTGGAAAGGGATTGAATTAATATTAAAATTAATCAACACATAAACAGGCAATCAAAAGAACAAACTGATTTTTAAAAAAAATCCAAGGACAGCAACATAATTATTAACAAACTTTCAACGAAGTCGGGCTCTTTTAGTGTTAGTGCTCTCAGGGCGTACTCACCTCTCTGTCTGTCTGTCTGTCTGTCTATCTGTCTGTCTGTCTGTCTGTCTGTCTGTCTGTCTGTCTGTCTGTCTGTCTGTCTTTTACACACATACACACATACACACATACACTCACACAAAAAACACACTGACACACACACACACACACACACACACACACACACACACACACACACACACA